GATGAAAGATTTCGTAATTTCGCTGTCAACTACGATTTTAAGATTAAGATCTGGAAGTATAAAATATGGTAGTTTGCTATCCATTAGTTAGGTTCATTAAATCGAATTTGTGTTATGATCTTCCGAGGCCATTATTCGAAAAACCTGACCTTTTTCATATTGAAGTTCTTCAGGATATTCGACGATAGGGGAAGACACAACATTTTCGTATAAATATTCATCTGAGTAAGGCTGATCATCGATTTCTACAAAATCAGTTTCAGTTATGTTGAATAGTTATTCTGCATTATATTTGGGACTTGATTTGCAGGGAACTTGGGATCTTGTAGTGTAATTTGATATTCCTGATATAGGAACTGGTTTAGGATATATTGGTCTGTTCACAAAGCTATAAAATCCGGACACTGGTTTTGAAAGATTGGGGTTGGTTTTATTTAGAAAACTTTTGGGACTGTTTTTTTGAAATTGTGAAAGATTTTTAGCATCTGAAGGACCTGGAGTATGTTGAAGTTGGGATCGGGACAGGCAAGTTGTGGGAGTTTTTGTAGCTGTCTACTATAGTTGTATGTTTGTGCATTTCGTTTAGAATATGAGGTAGCGGCTTCAATTTGAAAGTCGTTAGTAAGCATGTTCAATGCGCTATTTAGATCTTCAGGATTCTTAGTTCTCATCAAGGATCCAATAGGCTCTTCAAGTCCGCGTAACAGGACTCTTAGCGCTAAATTTTGACAGTATTTACACAAGATACTTCTTTCTGGATTGCTTGCATGGGTGGTTACACAAGAAACTTGCAAATTTAAAATTTGTTTTACCCTATTGAAAAAATCAAATACTGATTTATTACCTTGCTTCAGTTCTGTCATCTCGATATTTACAGAATAGAGATCTCTTTAATCTGCATAGGCTGCAAGAAGTGTATTTTCAAGATCGTCAAATGTGCAAATTGAACAAGATGAAATATTAATTGCGACTTTAATTTTTGATGAGATACTGGACATAAGATATTCATTTTGAAGGTCTGTAGTATCTGTCGCGTTATAAAATTAAGTGACTACTTTTTCACAGAATGATAAAAATCTGGGAAGAAGTTTTGTTTCTCCCTTAAATTCTGGGATCATTCTCAAATATTCGGGCTTTAGCACTGCCATATTTTCTGCTTTTAAAATGTGAAAAAATAAAATTATTTATGGTTTTCAAGAAGAGAAAAAAAAAATTAAATGAAAAGATATATTGTAATGAATGAGTCAGAATCAGAATCGCTAGCTGAATAATCAGAAACACTCGACGATCTGTAATAACCTGAATATTGCCCTCTGTAACACAAATTGTACTTACAAAAAAACCAACACAGTCTCCATTAGACAATCTGCGATAGAAGTCCAAAAATTCAGGAGCTGAAGTCAATATTCTCTCGAATCTGCCCTGACAGAGTTGTCTGAGCTTCTATTGAATTCTTCTAGATGACCTACTCAATTCAGCAAACAAAATGTCTCAGTGCACGCACGATATCCACTAGCGAGAAACTGAGATGAGACAAAAAGTTCGATAAAGTTCACGAGTCGTTAAAACGACCCAGTTCTATATTCACTAAGACTGTTGAACTTTTCCAAAACCGATCGCGCCAATTATGGTAGAAGAACTGTGAATAAGGGTTTTCTTTAAAAAGATTTATTACGGAAAGTATTTACAACTATCGGTTCTAATTCTAGACTAAAAGAAAATATTTTATAATATTGAAAATAAAACTTTGCTGTTGCAAATTGATTATTAATTAAACTATTAAAATATAGACGCTGCATAATGCAGCAAGCCGGAAGTGGGTCAATCGGGTCAAGCGCCTGAGCTTGAGCTCGTGTGTTTTATCTTTAAAAAAATAAAACTCTGAAATCGGTTTAAAAAATTGAAAATATATTATATAGTCTAAGAAAACAAAAAAAAAATTAACCAAAGAAGGTGAAGCACTTGTTCCTCGAACTTTTTGTTGACGTATTTTGACGATTTTGAAGGTCATGTCTAAAACCCGATAGGGGTCGGTTTTCATATTGACAATGTTATTTATAACTTTTTTTGTTCCAGAGTCAGGACACATTAGACTTCAAGCTCAGAAAAATCCAACCATATTCTTGTGTTTGACATATCTACTCGTAGCTATCGGACGACAATGATTGAACCATCCATAGAAGAGACGTAAAGATCTGAGGGACTTTTTCCTAACTATATATGTAGTAATTTGGTAATTATTGTGAGGTGACGTACAATGTTTGAAACTGCAATTTTAATTTTATGAATGCTCAATAAAATAATTAAAAATGCTGAATAAAATAATAGAGAAATGCCTTATGTTAAAAAAAAAACACAATATAAAATATACAATTTACACGTTAATTTCTGGTCCGTATTTTAATGAAATGTGCACTACAAAAATATAAATGCTCGATAAGTAATGTGTTCACTATCAAATCAAAAACCATACCAACCGAACTATAACCCAAACTAATGCAGATTAATCCAGCTTCTATAATTATTAACAAATATTTATTAATTTAGAGAGCATTTTCGGATTTGATACTCAGCATCTGTTACATTTATCATATCTATATCATTTTTATCGAACATTTATTATTTTAAAAGTTTTTATGCATTTGAATAAATTAACTGGTAAATGTAATACCTATACATTGGGAATAAAACATCGAGCACTTAAATTGTAGCGATAACTCAATTGCCTCTCTTAGCTCTTGTATTAATGCCTTTTCAATTGAAGGTCAATTGTTGCTACTAGAATTGTTTTTAAAATAGGATTAATATTGTGATGAGAAGTTAATTATAAGGCCTAATAATTAGAAAAATACATTGAAAATATAATTATTGTTGTTCAAAATGTGTGATATTATATATTGCGGTTTTTCTTTTTGTTTTGTTATTAAAAAAACCCTATGCTATAATATGTATATTGCATAGGCATGTATAATTTATTTAACTAATAAAGTTTCAAATTATTTGGTAATAGCAAACTTTAATCTATATTGCGGTATTTATATCAGAATAAGTTTTATTAAAGTAAACTGGTATGGTATTGAATGTATGTATTAAATAAATTTTTATGAACTCTGTGCCATATTTTATTTGATGTCACCAAATGAAGCTGTTTAAGATGAAAAAAAAAATCAAGACTAAAAATATAAAAAAGCAATTTATTAATAATTGTATGGGTTTAAACAAAACAGAAAAAAAATCAAGATTTTAAAAAGGCGTAGGTGTATTGCCAATAAAAGAATATTGTAATTCTGGCTCTTCTACTTTCAAAAACCATCACAGGTCAAAATATAAAAAAATAATAAAAAAAATACATACATTTTAAAACGTCGTCATTTGGATCGAAAAATGTTAGAGAATTTGAACTTAAAAAAAGTAATGAAGGTAAAGCGAACGTAAAATTACGTTGTTAGCTCGTTTTTATTTGAAAATTATATTGAAAAAGTACTCTGAGACTAGTAAAATATCATATCTTGGTGCTATCCAGAACAGTCAGGTCCAGAGTTTGAAATAAAAAATATAACATAAGCTCAGGGCCTGTACAAGAAGTATTTCGAACAACTAGCTTAGGTTATGTCAAAAATAATATATTCTTGGCGGGTAAGGTTGTGGCAGGAGCTTCCTGGCCATACACATGGGCAGATAACGGGTCCTCAAAAAAAAAACAATCAAAGATTGCTATGGTTTTTTAAACGTATGTCTTAGCAATATTTTTCTTCAATTTTGTAAATGAACTTTAATGTCAAAAATCCGGACCAATTATGAAGCAATAATGCGACCTACGTTTTCGTAACCAAAGCAATTTTTGATTGTTTTTTTTTTGAAGACCCGATATGAATAAAAATCAGTTTTTACTTTATTCAAAAAATTGGAGTAAATACTTCAAGTGGTAATAATAAAAATAAAGGCGAGATTTAAACATGAGCATTTACACTCATATACAAATCACGAGGAGAATCTGCTCCTATTTTGTATGAATGAGGTTGAGTTCCTACTCAATCAAATTAAGTTTATGCTCCGGAAATCTGGAGTCTGGTATAAGGCAAACTCAGTCGATATTTTAGCTTATAAGTGTCAAGAATGGCGGCCTTTATGGTGAATTTGCGTGCTCAAAAACTCTATTAATTAAGAAGGGATACTGTTGACCGCGACTTTAGAATTCTTTACCGATTTAACAAAGAAAACGTAAAGTGGCTATCAAATAATTTTCTCGTCGACGAATCTGGAGAAAAAAGAGGAGGTGCGCTAAGAAATTTTGAAAAAATGAAAATATTTTTAAGATACATAGGAGATCCCGGTTTTCAAGCAGGCGTGAGTGAAGATGTTGGAGTGCACCAATCATCAATGTCTAGAGTTATTGCGAACGTGACAGAATAGTCACATATTTGAGAAGGGTAATGAATGAATACATGTTCCAAATACTGTTGATGACATATTGCAAGCCAAACAAAAGTGGCAAGAGAAGTACAGTTTTCTGTACGCTATGGGTGTCATTGATTGCACCTACGTCAGAAAAAGACCATCAAATAATGGGGATGAATATATCAATCGAAAAGGGTACTCTAGTTTCAATGTGCAAGCAACATGTGACTCACAGGAACAGTAAACAAGTGTTGACACCTCATGGCCGGGTTCTGCGCATGATTCAAAAATATGGAAAAATTCTGGCGTTTTTGATATTGCCAAAAGAACCTTTCAGGCCAATCATGCCATTCTTTTAGGAGATGAGGGCTACGGAATTGCCCCTTGGTAGATGGTGCCATTTAAAAATCCAATAACTGTTTAAGTTGAACATGCCTACAATAATCTATTTAAAAAAGAAAGAGTAATCATTGAACGATGTTTTGGACAACTTGAGCAAGGGTTTGCAATTTTACAATATAAGATTCGAATGTCTATTGAAAAGGTTTTGAAACTTATTATGTGCTGTGCTATTCTACATAACATTGACAAATTTTTAAAAGATGACCTTCCAGTAGAACCTAATGAAAATCTGAATGGTAAAAAGTATTTTTTTATTTGGTCTCCATTTTTTTCTTCATTAGAAGATTATATTGATGTTCCAGTTCCGAATCAAGGACAACAAGATCCTGCAAATAGGAAACGGCAAGGTGAACAGAAAAAGAGAGAGTTATCGGAAATAATTGCCCGTATCTAATCAACCTAAAAATACACGGGCTAGTTTAATTGTATATTACATACAACAAGATCCTGCAAATAGGAAACGGCAAGGTGAACAGAAAAAGAGAGAGTTATCGGAAATAATTGCCCGTATCTAATCAACCTAAAAATACACGGGCTAGTTTAATTGTATATTACATACAACTAGCTGACGTCGCCACGCATTGCTGTGGCTTCTAATCAGTGATCTTTGCCAAATTTGAAGTATCCGATACTTTATTTTCAAATGCTTGGATACTCTGGAAACTTTTTCTTCTCACGCTCCATTATCCTCAGAGTGAATCCGCAAGCATAACGTCTAGCGAGTAGTGGTAAAATTGTAAAATCTTTCAAAATTTACCAAAATCTGTAATCATGCAGCGTGCAGATTTGTAATTCGTACGAAATCCGTGGGCTATGCTACATTTACATAGACTTTGTGACTGTTGTCTGTGGGATTCCTCGCTAGTTATGCGTCATTTCCAATCCCAATTCTCAACAATCCCAACACATAGGTTCCAAAGTATCCGATACATTTAGTTCAAGTATCCATTCCATACCGATACTTTTAAGTATCCAAGTTGCACATCACTACTAAAAATGTTTCAATCGACTGAAACCCTACGGGATTGAGAATAGAATGTTAAGCCATAATTCAAATGTGATTGATAAGGAGTTTTGGAGAGGTAAAATTAAACAAAAACCTAATATAATATTATCGATAACAATTATAATGTGGTGGTTTGTGTTTAATTTTAACTCTGATGAAATGAAAAGACCGAGGAATCTGACGCGGCGAGCTCCATAGAAGATAAAGATATATAATATAATAGCGCTTTCGACTTTTGTCTCAAAACTGCTCCCGATTGATCAAAGCAGGAACCCAAACGGATTCACATATTCGGCTTTAAAACAGAGCGTTGCTCTCGGCGAGATTCACGTGTTCGACTTGAGCAGTAAGCGCTCCCAAATCTAGCACGGAGCGCTCTTTCTTGCTCCGTTAAACTCGATAGATCAAAGGGTTGGATCAAAACAATATAGTACGTTCCGCTATTGATTTCAAATAGGGTGCCCTCGCTTGGATCATAATCGCTCTCGGAGTACGTCCGCAGAGATCTGTGACGTCACTGCCCAGACAGGAAGCGCTCTGGGAGCAGTAAAGCCGAAAATGCCATAAGAAAAGCTATAAAGTATAAGAGAGCAACCAGAAATTACGTCGGTTGAATGCAAAAATTTGATTCTTTATATTTTTATAAAAAATATACAGTTACGTCGTTTAAATGCCCAAAGTTAAATAAATGTGGCAACGTTCTTTCATGTTGTCAAAAAAACAATGGGTTATGTATCTGATGAGAAGCAAAAAAAAAATTAAATTTTTTTTGGGTGGACCACCGTTATTATTTAGGGGTATAAAAAATAGAAAGAATAGAAATAGGGAAAGAAACTGTGCGCATATTAATACTTATGTGGGGGGTAAAAGAAACACAGAAAGTTGGAGATTACTCAAAAACATGAGAATAACACAAACTAAGGATATTATCAATACAATAACACCCCAGCAATGGGAAGAGTAATTTGAAGAATTACTGACAGAACAGCGGGCAGAGTTTAAAGAAGAGAGGGAACAGACACGAAACATAAAAACTGCAGGATCACCAATACGAGTTATGCAAGAAGAAGTTTAAAAACACTGCGGCTTCTTGAAAAATGGTAGGGCACCAGGCCCAGGAGAAATATATGGAGAACTGATAAAGTGTGGGACCAATAAACTCTACAAACATTTAACAAAACTATTTCAAACATGCATACATAGAATAATATACGAACTAGAAGGATAATTGCATGTTAAAAATCGGGCCCCTCCGATGGATCCAGGCTTTCTGTCGCGCGATTCCATTTGACCCCTGAGTACGAAAACCTAGACCGCGTTGCCAATTGTCGTTGTGTTTCTATCTTTGTAATTTTATTTTTATTTTAATTTCTACTTAGATGAGAAAAATCTACAAGAATTACATTATTGGCTAATTACAATTTTTTTTACTAGGTCCAACAATTTTTATATCGAAAAATGTCATGAATTTGTCAAAATTCAGTTTTCATACTTTTTCACACATACCTCGCGATATCTCCGAAACCAATTGAGATAATTTCATTATTTTTTTTTTATTCTAAAGAGATTATTTTAAGGAAAATCAGTAAGATAATTTTGTTTTTCTGAAAAACTCGCTCTATTCGTAAAACTAGGTAAAACTTCAACTTACACTTTTTATGCAGTATTTTTTTCAGTAAGCGAGAAACTTTTTTGTTTTAAAGATTTCTGCCATACTATCAGCGAATGAAACAAAGCTAAGACATCATGGAAATTTTTGAAAAAAAAAAACACGATACTCCGCGATGCATAGTTTTCAAGATATCGTCACTTGAAGTTGAGAGTTTTATCGGCCGTGCACTACCTACTGCGGGTAGCTTCGCCACACTTAGCGCAGCGCGCGTCTTTAGTGTCATTTACATCCACTTAACTCAACGTACCTACGGAAAATTAATAACAAAGAAAAGTTGAAGATCATGTACTTATATGTAGTTGTTTACATCCACCTAAAAATTAAGAAAATTAACGTAACGGACGGAAAAGTTGAACCAACTTTAACTTAAGGAAATTCGTACGTTAATTTCAATAATAATTATGAATGACAGACAGATTGAACTTGTCTTTTATATTAATACTAGGTCATGAGCGCGCGTCGCGCGCTTTTTTTTTAAAACAAGTCCATCAAAATAATTATAAAATGGAAAATATTTATTAGGTGTTGTACAAAAAACAGCATAATTTTTGATTTAAATGTACATTATACATTAAATGTAACAGTGAGATAAGTTGTATAGATGTTATTCTAGTGAAGAAATTTCAAATGCGATGGATGGAGTTGGTGACTAATTATTTTTGTATGGTATATCATAATGAATTTAAATCGATCACATTTCTTGAATGTACGGTGTGCGTATGTCTACTTATCTCATTTTGTTTTATGGAACTCGTAGGTGTAGGTATACATTTTTCGAAGTGGTTTATTTAAAACAGAATAATCATAACCATAATCAAGGTGTTATTATAAACCGAGTTAGTAACTATTTATGTGCTGTGGTATAATACGAGATATCGAGTCTTTTTTTTTTTTTTTTACTCTTTCATGAAGTTCCTTTTTTTTTATTAGGCCAGTTATTGAAGTCTACTCGATCAACATTTTACTGCAAACAATCGAAAAAAAATTTTTTTAAAACATTTTAAATGCAATTGCTCAATTATTCAACTTACATTTTTTGTTTGTACCTACGTGGTAGACATAAATTTTAAATGTGATCAAAGTAGTTGGCGAATTATTACTTTTGCGGTATATCGTAATGACTTTAAATCGATCTTATTTTTTGAATATACGGTGTGCATATGTCCAGTGCAACTTATTCTATTTTATGGAACTCGTAAGAATCCAAAGTTTAAAGAGTGCTAAGTCTTCATGTCGTTCTTCGTTATTTTCAATTATTTATGTTTATCGTGTTCAGGTTTTTGTCTTGTGATCTTCAAATATCTTGTAAATAAGTTGTAAAGATCTTCTGAAATCACCTATGACTGCGAAATTTCAAAATTAAATTATCAAAAAAACAATTCTTTAAAAACATGGTTTTTGACAACACTATTGCCTCTTTGTTTCCCTGAATAAACTTTCAATGAGTCCCACGAACGAACTCTGAAAAGCGCCACAGTTGTCCGTGACTAATACATCCTTTCTGGAGATCAATTACTATCCTATCAAATGTTTGTCCTTGAAATTTGTTAATCGTCATTCATTGCAAAGGCTAATTTTATTTTAAAATTGTCTTTGTTTGAACGTAAAGGGGTAGACGTTTTCGCAGTAGAGTGTTATTCGATTTATGAACACTATTTCTCCCTGTTTATCTACAGTCAATATCTCACAGCGTAACAGATTATCCCCAAGTTCCAGAACTAAAGGCCTTGTACCATTGCAAAGGCCTGCACTGATGCTTAGATTTCTAATAAGCATACAATAGAATTCGTTTTCAATCGTAATTCATGGAGCGGGAATTCGGCGGATTAAGCCAATTTAAATATTTTGGAAGAATAGCATCATTTACATCACTATTATCACAGTTCTTGACACTATCTATACTGGTGTAGAGTTTTTCGGTCTTGACGTCCAACAGTTCGACAACTTATTCGTTTATTTCTTCGACATCAACATTTCTTGCAGAAAGTATTGCAGATTTGGTCAAGTCCCTGAATCTTCCTTCTTTTAGTATTGTTCGTCGACTTTTCGAATGAGGAGCGAGGGGGTGAAGCGAAAACCAGGGGTGACGTTAGGTGACCATTGGCGTTCAAATGTAGGGTGCGACCAGCTCACATTTCTTTCGAGTATTAGATTAAAATCGACGGACTTTACTTCTCATAGATGTTTTCAACAATATCCGAATTATCAATACATTTCTCCGACAATTTTAGATTGTCGTTAGAATCATTTAGTGTTCGTTATCGCATAAAAATGGCTCAATTTCAGCAATAAGTGCTTAATATTGGCCTTTAAGGCGGCAACCGTTCGAGATTTGTCAACATAGACTTTGGATTTTAGAATGCCTAGAGAAAAAAATCCAGTGACGTTAAGTCGGCCAATTGTGGATTCTGAAGGACGATCGCTGACATCAAAAATTGCACGGAGTGCACGAAACGTTTTCCGAATAGAACATTGGTTTTGATAATGATAATAATTTTTAACAATTCCGACGCGTTGCTCAATCGTGTAGCGCTCCATAATAAAATGCAGAGACTAATTGAATACGGCTGCCAAAGATAGCACCTGTGTGACTATCGAGTTTTTCATGGGCTATTGTCAAACATCGAGCGTTACTATTGGAAAACCCTATACATACCTAGATTCTTCTA